GGGACAGACGAGAGATTGAGGTGATCTGCATGGGACCTTTGCTTGTCTCAGCCACAAGTTCCTCAGAGAGCCTTGGATGCTCCAGTCTTTAAAGGGATATTACAAAATAAGGTTGGACTTAAAGCAGATGCTGCAAATCAATCAGATGTGATAGGCCCAACATGAGAATTGCTCGCCTGTGTCATACACAATTCAGACTAGATGACTAGACGGTTCTGACTTTAGCAATAATTCCTAAACATGACTAGTTCCTCATCCTCTGAGACTTCTGAAGATTTGCTTTGTTGGTGTATGTGGTCTTTTGATTTATCAACTAAACCACCGGGCAAAGGGATACTGGTCCTTTCAGAGGTCATCAGGGCAAGTGGGGGGAAGCTTTTTATCCCAACTGAACTTGGATCCATTTCTTTTAGCAGCTGTGAGGGATCTCTGATGTTTTTGCAAACTATGTTTTGGTTTTCTGCTATGACTTCTGAGTTATGTTTTGCAAGAGAGCTCTGCTCCTTCTGTTCTTGTGCTATGTGTGTGTGTGTACCTGCTTGGTGGAAAGAGCAGGAGTAAATCAGTGCAAGCAGCAGCCTCGCAACACCATAGATGTGATTCTTGTGTTTATCTTGACAGTTTGATGTGGTCTGAGCAAGTAATAGGCAGAGTTTCTTTTTCACGCGTTGTAGGTGGAGGAGAGACCACTGAAGCCAGGCTGGGAATTAATGGTGATCTAACCTCAGACTGCTGCTGACACCAGCCAGTGGTGGAAGTACTGTTATTAACATAAGTGTTATGAAAGTGCGTTTGCAAGAATTTACAGTGCTGTGTAAATATTAAGCACATGGCATGGGTGCCTTGTTTGCCTAGTTGGGAGCACTGATCTGAAGATGGGGTGATGCAATGCACAACGATCTGCTGATGTCAATAGATAGGTGATATTGCAAGTCCAAAACCCATGCGACTTGCACACCAGACATAGGACAAATGGGGATTAGGAAACAAACCTGGCACCCTGGCCCGTTTCTAGTCTGTCTTTCCATGCCTCTGTGCTGCATCTTTGTCCTCGCTATTTTCAACTTCATTTTCAAACCAGCCTGTAATTGCAGCCTTACCCATGGCCAAGGCTGCCTCTCCTGGCAGCTCTTGCTCTTGGGGTCTCCTGCTTCCTTTTCTCCTTTACCTAATGCCTGCCTTAGTTTGCAAGACTTGTCCACACGGAGGAGCCTGTTCATTAGCAGCCCTGTTTCTCTCCCTCTGAAACTGTATGAAACCCTCACCTATTCGCAGCAGAAGTTCTTTGTGTGGTACTGAGTGTTAAGCTGATGTTAGGCTTGGTATTCCGTATCTATGCATATTCAAGAAGCGAGTGATTTTTCAGGTATGCTTGGTATCTGCATCCTCCGCCAAATTTAAGGTGCCCACCTCTGGCAAATCAGGCTGTGACCATGGCGAGAGTAAGGATGCAGCTTTTATGACAGGACCGTACGTCAGAGAGCAAGACCGAGACAAATGTTACAGTAAGGGATGTTTTAGGCTATTTAAACCACCTGGTTTTGTGTTCATGTCAGTTTAAGTTCTTTAACTACTTAATATTTCGGGTAAAAGAAGACTGTTAAAGATCCCAAATCCATCTTTTAATTGAGTTACTCAAAATTACAACAGATTTCAGCTCCTTCAGCAGACCCTAGACAGGCTGTAACTCCTGAAATATTTAAGGGAGCTGCAGAGAGGCGTCAATTACAGAGTCAAAATAAAAGTAATCCAGCACTCCCCCTCTCCCCTTGCTTTCTGAATGAAAGTGTCTCAGGCCTTTTTCACTTGTCACAGCAAATAAAACCACTTTGTACTAAAAGGTGGTTGGTATATGAATATTTTGTTTTGAAAGTGCTTGAGCAACACGTGGGAAATATTTATTATATTTCTCACTGTTTCATTATAGTGTTTTTTAGAGGAACTGGCTGTAACTAAACTGTTCAGGAATGCTGGCTCTATATACTGCCTTATATGCTTTTGAAAGTCTTTCCTATAGATGAGTAATTTGCCTTGTGTGACTAGATTAACCTGTGCAGGTAAGACAGAAGCTTTGAAGTATATATCCTTACTCCTGTGCTCTCATGCTCTTAGGACTTGGTGAATCGTCTTTCCTACATCTTCGTGGCCAGCTGCCTGACTCTAGCACTGGCAGTCCTCTTCTGCAGAGACATAATGACTCTCCACGTTTGCTTTATTGAGCTTGGCAATGGTGTTGCAAATGGCACTAATTGGCATTTTTGCTGGCAGCCAGGAGACGGAGAACTGAACAGGCTGTGGAGCCTGCTCTCCACTGTGCTCCAAAGGTGGCAGAGGACAGAGACACGCTGGCAAGTCAGTCTGAGGAAAGCTGATGCCACTATTGCTTGGTCTATAAACAAAGGACTCTTGTTTCCAAAGCTGAGAAGCCTCAGCCTTTTCCCAAGCTGTGACTCTGTTTGAAAAACAACCCTGGACCCACCTGGGTGAGCGATCTGTGTAGTCACTGGTGCAGTTTGCCCACAGTTCCCCTTGGCCTCTCCAGATTAAGCATCCCAGACACATCAACGAGCCACACGTAGCGAGGTCTGTCGCTGACCTTCAGCAAAGCGATCCCAGCATGGGATCAGTAATAGGCTTGACTTCTGTCCTAGAATAACGGGAGGGGCACAGCAGTTAGCTGGCTTTGGACCCGTCACAACATATTGAGGGTCCCCCATAACACTTTCTGTTTGTTAAAGTGAATTACCTGAGAGCTGGTGGGAGGGCTGTAGGGAATCACAGGGGCATTTGGCCTTGAATTCTTGTTTTGTTAATGGGCTCATTTTAAGTTGTGGGATGTCCTGCCCAGCCTGTCACACTGTTCCAATGTGTAATTACCCTCACAGCTTGGGAGCTGGAGCGTCTTCCAGTGCTCAGTTCAACTGATCAACTGCCCACTGCTGAATCTCATTATGTCTTTGTTAGCAAGGCTGATAAACCTTTCCTGCCACCCCAGCTCTGTCTGTTCCACTACCTCGAGACACTTTTCCATGTGCAAGTTAGGTCTCACAGCTTTATTTCTCATCTGTTCTGGAAGATGCTTCCGCACCATTGTTACAGAAGCAAGGGGGAACGTGTACTCAAACAAAGAATTTAGGAACATAGATTTTTAATTATTTTTCTTTTAAGTGGCTGAGGGATTAGTTCTTTTGTTTTCTGTATTTTTATTATCAACAAGGTAGCTGAAGAGAACAGTTAGAGTTGTTCTATGCTTTCCAGCAAGGGCTCTAAACTTCCCATGTAATTAGTTTGAGCATGTATCAGCTTGGATTCTTAATTTGTTCTTCTAGGAAACATTTTCTGTGCCATCAGTCTAAGAATAGCAATGTTCTTTCTGTTGCATCTCAAATTTCAGAAGTATGGCTTATCTTTTATTGTGCGTGCAGTATGGAGATTATTTTAGATGAAATACCACTCTGTTCTGCTGAAGCATGAACAGCTTATAGTGCCTCATTCTGTGGCTTTCTTTTTCCCTAACCAAAATTAATTCACGAATAAAGAAATTTGTGCCTTGAACATGGCCTCTTCTCTCTAAGCGCATCAGTTCCTTGATGACCCCAAAGGGAACAACAGTGCTGAAATAGTTCAAGTGGCAAACAACTCCCTGGCTACAAATTTAAGCACTGAAACAAACCCCTGCAGTTTCTCTGACAACTTCCAAGAACAGAGGCAAAGCTACAGCGCTGTGGCCTAGGAGATTTCTATCATTGCAATGCTGGTGGAGCCGGCGCAGCTCGCTCCCTGCAGAGCAGGCAGAGGCAGTGCCAGTTTTACAGGGAAGTAAGCAGCATGGCTGCCCGGAATGCTGTGGAGTAAAGGTTGCAGAGCAAAGAACTGAAGCTGTACCCTTTGCTCAGGACTTTGATGCATCTCAACACAACTGTTGGAGGCAGGACATTACCCCTAAAGGACTTTTTGATCTGGAGCAGCTGCAAAGATGTTTTATGTACTTTGGAGCATCTCAGAAGGGATAGCTGGGGGAAGGCTGGATATCTAAGCTACTCCTCTGGTACCCAGAGTAGATGCTGGGACTGCCACAGCTCAACCCAAGCCATCACATCCTGCTGGGGACTAGAAGCCACCACAGAAAGCTGCTCCAGGGTCCTGGGCTGTTGCCATACCTACATAAACCCCTCCGTGCATAGCAGAGGGCAGGCACGAGGAGGCTGGTCCTCCTGCTCTGTGCTACCCTCCTCACCCTGCAGCAATCACACTGGGGGGCTGCAGGGTCCATTCCTGCCTCCTGCCAGGATAGGAACATTTTTGACTGGAGCAATGTGTGCCCTCTTCTGCCTGACAGCAAGCACCTTGGCTCTCCAAGGGGAACAGAGAGAACTTTGCAAGGAAACCAACTGTTATTTACGTATATTTTAAAATACATTTTGTTCAGCTGCACATTCCTGCCAGCCTTGTTTAGGGAAGTTTTAATAAGAATTGGCTTCTCTTTGGTGTTCTGTACAAGATGAGGAAGTTTTCATCTGTGCCTTTAAAAAAACCCCACATCCCTGCCAAGATGTATTAGGAGAGCTGTAAAAAAGGAGTCATCCTGTTCCAGGACCACGAGGCTTATGTAACAGGGAAATCCTAACGAAAAGATACTCCCCCAACCCTGCACACGCTTTTCCAGGGCACATGCCACTTCAGGGTTTTCAGCTGCTTGGTTTGCATGTTGATCACATCTGCCATTGGTTTATTCAGATGTATTTACAAATATATTCCCCCACATGCCCTCACTTGTACATGCCATAGAATGTTTTTATAAAATGCGGTGTGGACCTCACCTCACCACAAGGATCTTTAAATAAAATATATTGTAAAGTGCCAGATACAATTATTTTAAAAAATACAGTTCTAATTAAAACAGATACTTGGCCACCGCATTAGCAGCTTTGTATACTGATACATTTTTAGCACAACAGTCTATTTCTGTCAGGGGAGCAGGAGGCTGTCATGCCACCCCTCTAGCTCTCCAGTTTCAAGTCCAAAGGCTTTAGAAAATGAGGCAGAGGCAGATCATCCAGAGCCTCTGGGAAATGCTCGGGTGAAATGGTCCTGATCAAGACACGCATGGCCCCGACAAACAGGGATGGGGGAGCTAAGCCCACCAGGCACTGGAACCTGTTCTCACCCAGGAGGTCCTGCCACTGCTGCCGGTTGTCCAACAGTTGCTGCTTCATTGTGAACGGGAGGTCCTGAGGCACGAAGAAGAAGAGGCAGTCGAGGCAGAGGAGCTTGGCACGCATGTTAGCTGCTGGCGCGTGGGCAATCTGCTGCAGCAAGGTGTCGAGGGGGGTATTCCCAGCACTGTCTTGCAAGCAGGGCGACGCGCCATGCCCCAGCAGCAGGAGCAAGCACTCGGGTCGCACCAGTTCGCAGGCCACATGCC